GGGGGGGGGGGGGGGGGGGGGGGGGGGGGGGGGGGGGCAGGAGGAGCAGCCCTGGCGCCCCTGGGACAGAGCTTGGTGCCCCCTTGGAGGTAATAATTTCCCTACCTGGTATCGCTCGGGTGGGGTTTGGCGCCCCCGCGCTTTTGCTCTGCCCCCCCCCCCCCCTCCCGACCCCTCAGTCAAAATATACCACTGCGTTTGACCCATGAACTCAATATGGGGTTGAATATGTCGAGGACCGTTGGTACTAGAGCGCTGAAATTTGGGATTTACTCATACTTCAGGGAAGTCCCCTTGAATGACTTTTCTCAAACAAATCCATGTCGGACGCGCAACCACCCATTTGATCGCTTGAGTTGGAATGTCTCAGGGTGAGTTCCTGGTTCTGAAAATTTTCTCACACATCAGCTACTCATCCTTAACCATTAATCCCTATCCAATCGAGATACCCCCAAACATTTTCCGTCCAGGATGCATGTCTTCACTAGTCGTCGCCATCTTCGTTCATACAGTTCTAACAGCTGAGCAGGCTGGTGGTTTGTGAACCATCGAATGGCGTGATGACTATGGAAAGTGCCGTAAACCCAGTCGACGACCATAATCTCGTAGGGAAAGCCAGATTAGTTCTTCTGGCTGCAGTGCGCATATAGTATCCAATGAATGACGTATATATGACGTCACAGCCTTCAGCGTCCAGACCAAGAGGAACAATGGCCGCAGGACGAACGTATTTGCCTGTTCGAAGTCTGTGTGTCAGTATGTCCGTTAAGCTAGACCGTCTATGTACCAGGTGTCTGCCCGCCTTACTCTATAGCCGTACTTGTACTTGCCGATAGGAATTTGGTTGAAATTTTGGGGCCAATATATTGGTTACTAACGTTAGATTAGGCCTATAGCGTGGAGTGTCTCAACCACGATCGATCAGGTATTGGCTTTTTCTAATATTGGATCCTGACAAACAACCTGGTACCATCCAACAACGAGTGATCATTTGCAGACCTGCAGTCAAACTCATTTTAGATGTACAGATCCTTATCCAAGAAACTGATGGTTAAGGTTGTTTTTTTTTGGGCATTGCACTTTTTGACGTTTCCTCCCTCGAGTCCATAATCAACCTCCAACTCTCCCTTGAAAATCTGCGATGTCAACTAATCTACCCTTGGGTTGTTTACCTTTCATTTGCTAGTTCAAAGGAATCATTTGTGCAGGAATACAACCCAGATACATCCCATTAATTATAGTAATATCTTCAAAATATTTGACAACATAGTAAAGTCAGCAATTTCTTACTCCAAGCATACAGGGTGACCCAAAAATTGTGAGGCCACTGTAAATTTTTACATGTACTTATTAAGAACAAAGACTGCAAGTATCACAAAAACAGTTTGACAAAGCCTACCATTCAGTGTCATTCATCTGTGTCCTCCCTGCTGTTGTATTACACACTCCAGACAGTGGTGCCACTTGTTGATGCTGCAGTCAATGAAACGTGACAGTTGGCCTCACTTTTTTTTGGGCTACCTGACATTTCATTGATTAAACTTTCACTAGTCTAAATTAAACGGTGGTGCAACCAGCCCTAAAGTTGGGATGGGGGGGGCTTGGGAGGTTTGGGAGGCCTGTCTTTCAAATGCCTCTAAATGTAAGAAGACATTTTAAAATCATCAGAAGATATATTCATAAGGAAAATATGAAACAATGTCCAGCATGCAAACATAGAAAGTTATATGAAGAAAAGTTTTATGAAATGGTGGAAATGGAATTTTAACAGTAAATGATAAGCACATCTGATATTTGGAATAAAAAGCTAAAAATAAATGAAATTATTTCAGGATTCAGCCCAGATTTCACTGTACAGGCATGCAATTGCAAATTTGTTCAACTGTATGTGATTCATGCCTTTCATCCAAGTTGTTGTCCTTCAGTTTTCAGGAAAAAATTTAGCAGTGTTATATTTGCAGTGTATTTCCTTGACATTTCCACTTGACTATAGTGAGTAGCCACATGTGACTGACTCACCTTTCACCTCCCATCCTTGTTCCTTTCTAACCTTGATCTCAAGTCATTTGCTCATGATAATATATTTCTGTGTTCCTACCTTCAAGGGAGAGGGGGATGGAAGAATAGAGAGATACTATCATGAGCTGGCATTTGGGTGTCTACAGACCCCCTGAACCCCCCTTGGTTGAACTCTTTTAACCATGACATTGTCTAAGTACACACACTCTTGAAGAAATCAATTTGCATATGTTCCATATTACATTTCAAGAGTGTTACTTGGTGGTGAAAGTGAAAAATGAAGCATGTTTGATATTTTCCTTGTTCCTCTGTTGATGTTTTCCCAGGACTATGGTTGTCAACTTTTTTGATCCTGTGGCCTACCTTAACCGCAGTAGAGTGGTCTACTGTCTACAACAGACTTAAAAGCTATATAATTTTTGTTTGTCATACTGTTAATTGTCATTTTTAAATTTTACAGGTACTTGTCATGGCCCACCCATAACACTCTTGCAGCCCAGCAGATGAGAACCACTGTCCAAGGAAAGCAAAGCATAAAGAAAGTGAAGAATTTAAAGATTTTATATTTTCATTATCAAGTTATTTCACACCTTTCCTCAAATGCTCTCGTACGTTCAGGTTGCAGTATTCTAACAAAATTTGAGTTTGTATTTGTCTGAGAGAAACTGATTGAAAAGAGTTGTTGAGCTTCTCCAGATTCTTTTCAGCTGTTTATGTGATTTGATCTATCTTTGTCTTCTCAGTTGCTTGATGGTCTTAGTCCATTTTAGTCATTGGGATATTCATTTAAGGGAAAGTAGTGAGTTATCTGAAAATTTTCAAGCATACACTTGTTGATTGAATTTGCTGGTATTCAGTGTAATACTGTTCATTGATAAGGTATGTTTATTAGTTTTAGTTCAAAGATTAGAATATGGGTTCATAACTCAAATGACTGTGAGGGCCATTTGCAATTTTTACTGACCTACTGTGGACTGCAGCTGGCTGACCATAGCTGTGGCCAACAAGGCAGGAGAGATAGTAGCACTTGGCATTCATGGTGGGCAGCAGACAAGGGTCTTGCAGGCTGCATGCAGCCTGCAGGCTGTATATTGTGCACCCCTGGATTAGAATATGAGTTTTGATTTTGATGGTGGAATTATCTGAACATTATTTTCTATTTCCAGGTATTGAGGCATTTGTTACTGCCATCATATGTGAATGTGATATAGCAGTTTGAGAGCATGAGATTAGAATAAACAATAAGGAAATGTATAATGGCATTGGGTTACCCACCCCACGGGGCTCTGGCACAAATGGTTATGTGCAGCGGAACTTGGCACTTGTGAGAAAGGGGAAGGAAAAGATTAATTATAAAACAGAGGAAGAATTGGAAAAATTGGAGTCTCAGCTTAACAAGCAGCCCAATTTGGAAATTCTTGATCATGAGAGAAAGCGACAGCTGGAGTTGAAGTGCTTGGAGCTTGAGGACATAATGGAAGAGCAAGGGTGAGTTTATTGAACTTTAATAATTTTTGGGGCCATATTCCAGACCATTATTTACTTTAAAAAAAAAAAAAAACCTTTGTCATTGATCCACATGCATATCTGTTTTTTTTCTGCTGCAGATACTCTGAGGAGGAGATAGAAGAGAGAGTTAGAGTCTACCGACAGATGCTAAAACAGAGAGAAGACAAACAATCTTTGAAATCTTCCCAGTCCCAAATACCTACAGATGAAATGGGACGACCCAGGTGAGGGTGAATTTTATGATGTCCTTCAGGTTTCTTTACAATCAGCCCCTGCAGAATATTCCTTAAGGAATTGGCTTCAGGGTGTTTCACAGCTTTTTGTAGATATTTTTCAGCCTTTTTTAATGTAACATTTTGCTGCCCTCCTGCCTGCCATGGATATGGGATGAGTGAGAAAACTTTCCTTCTCTCTTTTATTCTCTGACTGGTAGTTATCCTGCCATGCTCCAGAGACTGAGCTCTGAAGCATCCTTATTACTTTTATATTTTTGTCTGCTTGGAGATATTTGCCTTTGATAGAACTATGAAATTTTTTGCAATTGCCAAATATCTTGTTTTAAATTGCATTCACATCAGATATTTCATCAGAGAACAAGTTGTTTTTCAATTAAAGTTTTCCTAAGAAATAAGAGGCACATCACAGTGGAGCTTCATCCTCCACACTTTCCTAAAGAACATTTGTTGTCTAATTTATGGGTCATTGTGGAAGTGAATTTACTCTATAGGCTTCTAACCTTCATGTAGACCTGCATACATGTTACCTCTCCAATCGTGAAAGAATCTTGTGGACCTTTTTGAAGAGTTATTTATTGTTCAAAAAACACTTATGTTGGTATAGACTTTTTTTTGTCACTCCTCAAGGCCAGTTTACTGAGAATTTACATTCTTGTTGGCTTGAAGATGGGTCATCATCAAGTCATTTGGTATCCCAATGGGGAGTAACTACTCCACTAATATGGCTAATTGCATCCTTTTTTGTTATGAAAGATTTCAAATGAAAAACCCTTATTTGCCTCAAATTTATTTACTTTATTACAGGAATGTTGATAACCTGATGGTACTCAATAACAATCTTTTGAAAAATTAAATTTCATTAATATATGTTGCATGTATGAAGGTGCAGGAAACAATTTCACTGCCCTTCACCAGTGGACACCAAAATATCTACTAAAATTTATGGCAAAGGAAGGGATTTTTCTAAATCTCCTACATGCCATTACATAGATTTGATATACTCAAGGCTGGGCCAATTATCGTGATATTGATTTTCTGCTATATATATCTCTTTTCCTGATTATTCTTGAATGCATACATGGCTGACTATGGCCATTAACAAAAGGAAAAGTTGCATTATTGACAGAGGAAACTTAAACATGGAGCTCTCATCACCATTAGCTATTCCTTCATCACCTCCCTCCATGGGACAGGGTTGATGAAGGGAAACAGGTTTTACTAAAACCTTCAGTGCTGATTACCCCTTCCATGCCTCTTTTTTTAAAATGAAAATTCTATGCAAAAATTGTCAATTTATTTCTATTAAAATTTCAAAAACAGAGTACATAATTTTGGTGTATCATAAGTGTTATTTCCATATGTGTATGCAATGGGGGTGCAATGTTTTTGTTGGTATCCCATGCACAAGCCAGCTTCTGCCTCTCTTTGCATTTTGCCAACTGCTCAATTTAAAATCTCTCCTTGTCCATTCCTCTACTTTTGGACCACCTCATGCCCTACCTCAATGAGGCACTGCTTGCCTCAAAAACCAGGATTCAGATATGCTAGCACTCAACTCATCTGGATGGCAGATGGAACTGTGACTCAGTCAACATTGTTTATTCCACCCTATGCTCCAAGTGCAACCTCCAATAAATAGGTGAAACATGGTCAACAATCACAAAAACTTGGTATAAAATAAGATGTCCACCTGTCTGTGTTTGAGCATTTTAAACAGCCACAACACTCCTTGGGAGGATCTGGCCCTGGATGTCCTGGCAGGGAATTTCAGGAATAAGAAGAAAAAAAACAGGAAGTATCACCTCCCTACAGAATCACCTACAGCCCTACAGTATCACCTCTGTTGGTGGCTGGTGATACTGTTCTGTTCAAACAAAAACATTGGCATCATGAAAAAATATCCCCTTTTCATATCCCTTCGGAATGTACCAACAGTGCCTGTATGAGCCCAATTACTTTATGGAAGTACTCAGCACCATATGGTGTGCCCGCATTCATATGCAGACCTACTAAGCCTGCTTTTTTCATGGGTTTGCTGGTCTGGTTCTTTGAATCCTGGGATCACAATCTGTAATGTTTTGTTGGTATGATCCCATGCACAAGCCAGCCTCTGACTTCCCGTCCCCGTTGTTTTGACGTCTTCAGGATTCCATAGTAAAATCTTTCAGCACTGTCATATGTAGCCTGAGTAATTAGGTCCACTTGCTTGAATCTCTGGAAGGCAATAGGTACTATTGCCCCCTTCTAAGATGGCATTCCCTGTATGGCATTAAAAAACAAATACCAATAAATTTTAACTTGCATATTTCTGCTCGTACTAGAGTTATTTCCACAAATTTTGCATTGTGCATTGACTGACATGTTCCCAGCTGGCTTTTGGACATTTGTTTTCAAATTTGCATCGCAAAAGTGAGGCAATGAGCAAATATTCATTGCTTATTGGAAATTAAATATTGACAGGGAACTCCTATCCTTTCTGAGTGCTTCATACTCCTGACTGGTTCCCTTATGCAAAGGAAAATCTGATTATACTTAGAGAAAACCTCATGTTGAGATATTATTGATTTATCTGTCATTGGAATAAATCTGGAAGTAAAGGCCTGCCTCAAAAAAAAAATTAATTTCTATGGGAGAAAAGTTTGATGCAGCATATGATGAACTTAAATGCATGGTTTGATAGGCTGGTCAACGAGCAACTACTGCCCAGCCATACATACATACATACGTTTCTTGGCCGCTTTTCCCAATTTAATGGGGTCGCAGTTCGAGCATCCCCAGCTGCCCAGCCATCCAATAAGTATCATTAAGCTATTGTCAAATGCTAGGAAGACAAAGGGCACAAGAAAGTTGTGAAGGAAAGGATACTGAAGCGCTAGCCGTGTACCCCCTGACGAAGCCTTGCGGACGGCGACAGAAATCTTGCATGGGGTCACTATCTGAAAATGGATCCGAGACAGCGGTCCCCTGGACAAGTGGTTCCCAACCAGTGGGCCCGCAGAGGTGCCGCAGGTTGGCCATGACAAGTATCCGAAGTTTTAAAATAACAATAAACAGTTAGATGAACAAAAATTATATAGCTTTTATGTCTGTATGGGGCCCCGGATCACTTTGCTGTTGATAAGGTGAGCCGTGGCATCGAAAAAGTTTAGAACCACTGCCCTAGACAATAAAGAAAGAATTTTAGCTTCGACGTTTTTTCGTCTGTGGATGGGGTCAATGTGAATAATGGAGAATCTGCTGAATTTTGCAAATCGTTTCAACATATGGAGACGTGGCATTATTTTCACCTTTATTATTGCTAACACATTAGAACGAGTAATGGGACCTGATGACTTTGGGAATTCTTGGAATGAAATTTCGATGTCTTAGACAGCAGGCGAACACAGAGACGCTGTAATAGGTTATACTCGTGTTGGGCTCTTTTTTTTCTTTGAACAAAGAATATACTTTTGTCAGCAGATTCTGTTTCACCTGCCTTGATTGATCTGCCTTGCCGTGTTTCCCTGATGCTGCCACCAGATGGCGAGCTTGTATTGAAAACAACCTAAACTCCCTGCGACAGGCCAGGCGCATGACACCGGCTTTCCCTGCGCGTCAAGAGTGACTGCAAATACAGGCTGAACGGGTTTTTTAATAAATTTTAATTCAAAGGGGGAACATAGCAGGAGAATGAAACATGCATTTGATTATAGGTCTCAACGTTTTTTTTTTTCTCCCCCTGGCGCCTTCGTTTGGTTTTCGAACGCATCATATTCAGCTGATTCCGTTTTTAAGATGGTGACTTCAGGAAAATTTCCAATTTTTGGTAATACTAGTCGACGATTTTCATAATTCCATTTGAAAGGAAGAATTTTGATAGTTTTTTTTTTTTAACAAGTTGGGACTTCCCACACTTTTTCGAGAGTTCGAAAGTTTTGCATGCACTTTTCCTGGACAATTGATAGGAAAAGGTGTCCATTTTTTTGTATTCTAGGGTCACCTGACATGTCTCCATTGGATTTCGTTCTATAGTTGGTGGAGAATTAGTCGTGTATACCGCGAAAGTTAAAAATCTTGAAAACCATCCAGGAAGAATTGCCCAACATTTTCAAGAAATGCCGAATACATCATCCTTGCAATCCATAAATTCTAGGCTCTCAAATAGAATTTTTTTTTTACAATAGAAGACGTCATAGTCAAATGCAGGTGAGGCGAACCGAAAATTAAAAAAAAAACACAAGACCTTTGACTATGACCAAAGTAAGTTTTTCCTTCATTTTTGTGGCCCCGCACATAGCGGGAAGATAACTTGGATGAGTTGACTCTAATTCCAGCGGTAGCGAGTACATGTCGCATTGATAGTCTCTACAGCAGATGGCTTACCTACACATCTTAAAAAAGCTTCTATAATGCGAGGAGGAAAGGTGGGACCCTTGCGGAAAACTCCAGTTTAGTGCTTTGTCATGTGTTTTCCTCTGAGGTAAATCAGGATGGAATTCTCCATTTTCTGTTGTCCTTTTCTCTTGACTTATAACTCTTGATGAAGTCATACACCCCGATTTGATCAGGGAGGCTGCGGCCTTATCGCTGGGTGTTCCACCCCGCACCCAGGCGCATTGCCTTGTCCTTCACGTCCTCTGACATCCCGGGTTAGATCAATGCGCTCTTATCGTTCAACGAACTATCTTAGCTGACGATGCTATCTCTTCCCTGTAATATGCGGTTGTTCACTGAACTAACCTCCAAGGAAACTAAAAAAGATGTGGAAGAAGGAAATGTCTCCCGGCTGAAAACCACGTCTAAGACATGGTTTTCCAGAGAACCAGATGTAATGCATTTTTTTCCCGCAAGGAATCGTATAATTTGAAGTGGAACGTTCCGAAATCTGATATAATATTCTCATTTGCGTCCATTTAGACCCACATTCGACTTCATGATGATAAAATATAGTCGATAGCAACCTCATCAGTCAGCGTTAGCTTTTTTTTTGGCCATCCATCGTGAAAGCGATAATCATTCGTCGAAATATATTTCCCCAAACGACTGGATATGAATTGTGAATATATGAAATACACGTTCATGTTTCAGTTTCATGCAATGCGAGGTAGGAATGAAGCCCCCCCCCCAAGAGCGTTTTTGCTTTGAAAGCCATTTCCATCGCCATTCGAGTTTCTCATCATTACCGGATTTCATGAACTGATTTTCATAGACGAACTCATTCCGGACGAGAACTGATCTGTTTTGGGATTATGTAAAAAAAAAAAAATTTACAATAAAAAAAGGCAGCTTTGTTCTAAGACGTTCCGATGCGAGACATCCTATTCTCTTGGCGTGACGCATTTCCATCATTCTTATGCAAGTTCACTCACCATCGTAAGGAGTGTCATCTGGATGTGGAGTCCTTGAATCCAAGAGTGTAGAGATATGGATGGAACCATGCATTTTTTCCTCTGCCTTTCTGCCGAGAGTGATGGTCGGTGTAGAAGCACGGTTCCGTTCCCCCCTCTGCTCTTTGTGTGTGCTTACGTTAATGCCAGATAGGGATGTGTACATGTGCGTGGGGATAAGCCTAGACCCGTGTGTAGATGCAGTACGAGCCCGAGTCCGAGTGCGTCAGCAGGAATGAAGGAATGGCGCCACCCGTCCCGATCCCGGTAGGTGTAAAACCATCCTCCCCTATTCCCCCTACCCATTTCTTCCTTCTGTAGAGCATGGCACGAATTAGGGCTAGCTAGGTTCTTTGTTGGAACATGCGTCGTTCGGATGGGAAAATCGATCTCCTCAGTCCCCCCCCGATAAAATGGCGGCAGAAGCCAGCCAAGTGCCCGACGTCGGGTGATATTTCGTCTTCCATTTGTCTGTGATCAGTTGTCTTCCATTCTCGAGTCTTCCAATCCATGTTGCCTTACGAGCACCAAGGGAAGGGAGTTCGTGACGTCCTCGAGGCCATCGCCGAGCAGAATGCCCTTCTCCGTCGCCACCTCCTCCTTTACTCTGATTATCATCCGGTCCCTTTTCATCCGATGGCTTTCCCCTTCCCTTTTCAACCTCTTCACCCCTCTTCGGCTCCGCGGAAACGGCGAAAAAAACGGCGGAAGAAACGTGGCGCTGCAGCGCAGGCCCTCCTCATCCAGGAACAGACTTGTTCCGTTCGCTCTATCATCAGGTCAGGGCTGCGACTCTTTCCTGCGTTCATGCTCTGAACCCGCTCGCCCGTCCGACCAAGATTCTCTTCGTTTGGCCATCGACTACACCAGGGCGACCGCATTCTCGCGATCGTATTTTCCCCCCATTGTTTTTACCGTATTTATGTTCGTATTGATTGATTCCACGCACGAGTTCCTACTCATTCTCGACATCATGTGCTCCAGTGATGTATATTCGATCGTAACTGCCGTGGCCCAGAACGCGTTCACCTTATACTACTGCTCTAGCACGATATATATTCCAGCCTACTAGCATGAAACTTGGTCAACAAGGACGCTGATCAGTTAAAAGAGATTCCTTCGGGTGCAAGGTGTAGGACAGACGAAAGAGCATGGGTGAAATGATAAGTAAGATGAGGCACACTTGAACCGTGTTCGGTGGTCGAATGGTTCGGGCTTCCCAATCTGGGAGGTGGGGGGGATTGAGCCTTTTTTCTGCCTACAGACGATTTGCCTGTACCGCCTTAACGTAGGGGTAACACGTACGCCACTCTGTGTGCCACATCTAAGAGGTAAGATTGCAGAACACCTTAAAATTGGTTCCTTCCGGTCATGAGCTTTTCCGGCCTTTTACAGGACCGTGTCGAGCGCCCTAGCCTTAGGAACTATCCATCTTGGTTATAGTGCCAATGCTAAACAGAAACCCCCTTACATTCTATGCATCTTAATGTCCGTTGTCTTATGCGCTCATCGTCTGTCTCGAGGAGTAATTATGTACTCAGTCCCAAGAAGAAATGTGAATGGTCAAAGGTCATGAGGACGTGCACATTTGCAGCCCTTCGCACGCCCATCCTAGAAATGCTTTGCTAGCTTATTCCTCAAATTACCTCTTTCTACAGTTTCTGCTGTCAATCAGTCGGGGCTTCGTTCCATTCCTCAATAATCCTGTGTAATCTTAAATATTGAGCTTCACTGCCGCTGGAACTATATTCTGTGTTCTCAAGACACATGATTCACTTGAGAAATCCATTGCGGCGCGCTGTACATGAACAGGTGAAGTTGAAGTACCTCGGGATCTGTTTCTCGGGTATTGGGCAATTTTTAAACGGAATCGAAGATCGTATCTTCAGGGCTTCTGCTGTTTGGTCGAAGCTCTGGCAGGCCGTGGTTGCCGAATCTGAAATTTTCAAGGATGCTCTTGTTTTTTAAGAGGGTTCATCTTTACACCATCACTTGTGCCGTGACTTTGAATAGTGACGGAATCAAATCCCGAAAACAAGCTGCCTCGACAAGGTTTTATTCGTTTGGTGGGTGGTGTCATGATGGGATGTGGAGTGCCTCCGACTGCGAGAACCTCCTGGTCGTGCAGGTACTTTCGCCGGATTGAGAGATTCCTTATCCGGTTGTCCCGACACGTCCTCGCATGCCCCCCGAGAGACTCCCAAAATAAGTTTCAGTCCAAGATGAACAGCAGGCCAAGCGGTAGACCTCGTACAAGATGTAGCGGTTATGACATGAAGTTTTGTCATTCTTGACCGGGCACCCCATTATTTGAGCTCTACTTCGTTGCTCCGTACCGGGAACGTTGGAGGATGCTCTTAGACCTGGTCGAGTCGCGACCCCATTTGTTAGGGTGAGCGGTGTTAATAATTGCTGTTAGTATGCATGTACTTACGTACATACATATGGGTACAAATCAGGGGCTCTTGATACCCACGCCCTTCTTATTTAGCAACCATAGAAGCTGGTAAAAAGTTTTTTTTTTTACGGTTGCATTTTATTGTTATTTTTGTCTGACCTTACCATTAAATACTCCAATACTCTATATGAGGAAATGTCTTCCTCTGCTTTTTTCTGTTCTTGATTTTCCGACTTAAAGTTTTATCGCTGCAAAGTTATGTATTATACCATGCTTCATGCAATCGTTCAAGAAGAGAAGATTACGTAGTCCCAGAAAAATCCTTGAGGTAATGCTCTAAAATTCTGTGAATTATGTGTTTCCACTGCTAACAACTACTTAACTTCCATTGTGAAGTGAGTTCATTATCCAATGAATAATTTTCTTGTGTATCCCTGAAGCTGAAAAATATAAATTTTATCTTTTTGTGTAAAACTGTTATTGCACACCTTAGCAGATTCTAAGTTAGTGATGTCAAGAGACATATATTTGTTAAACATAAGCTGTATTTTCATATTTTGTGTAACTTTTTTCACATAAGAACATTGCTTCTTATCCCCCCAAAATTCTAAATAATTGAGATAAGCATAATTAAACAGAGGAACAGAGTAAGCAAATTTGAGTCTCAATACACTTGATGTAAATAGTGGTAGGCCTAATCTATGAGAGATTTCAAGTAGCATGATAAAAAATAATTGAGAATCAAGGGCAAGTTTTGTGCAATTTAAGTTCCTTTGCCTTGAATTGAAGTTAAAATCTATCACTTAGATGAGAATAAGTAAAACAGGTATGGATTATCATTTTACATTTGGTTATGGGTTTGTCCATAGGGTTCCCTTGGACCTGAAAAATCATAGGTGGAGAAATGTTGTCAAAAAAAGTTTCAATGAAGCCAGGGAAATAATCCAGGAAAAATTGCATAAACTTTTGCTCAAGAACTTCTAGGAAGTACAGAAGTACAACCTGGCATAGGGTATGGGCTAGTCCAGTTGTCTTAATCCATGTGCTGGGTATAACTGAAGAATTGTAGGTACCTCTTGGAGGTCCAATTGGAGCATGCCACTTGTTTTTGAGCTTTCTTGTTGAATATTATCTGTTATGGCATTGTGCCAAACAAGGTAAGCTAGAGGCAAGAATGGATGAATACATCAGGTCAGCATCAGGTGTATAAAAAAAAAAGGAACTTCCCTTCAATGATTCAGATCATCTTCAGGTTGAGGTGGACTATGAAACTATGTCATGGAATCTTGTCTTTGGTTGGGATCATGCTGTGTGGGTACCTGGATGTAGGCAGACTGGCTTGTATGCTGTAAATTTGGACCTTTCAGGCTTATGCTAATGGAGAAGGAAGTGAAAGATAATGACAGTGCAAAGAAGATGAAGATAATTTATGCATGACAAATTTTAACCAGGAAAATTGCCCTTAAAATTAGCTAGAAAGGTAGGAGAAGTCTTATAAAGCGAATCTCAACATTTTTGTTGGAACCTAGTAAGTGAATAAAGTTAATTCAATGTGATCAAATTGAATGGTGTTGTTATTAAGCTGGACAGAGGATGGTCTCTGATTGGTTTGTTCTTTCATGTTTCTCCCCTTGCAGCTTATTCAGGATAATATGATGGTACAGAAAATGAATGCATTGTAACTGTGAGGGATGTTCAGGGAAAATAGGATTTCTTTTTGCCACAACATCACTGTAATTGCACTCATGAGTTTCATCTCCACCTACATTTTTGTTTTTACCTTGAGCAGTGTGAAGGAGACACATCAAATGGCCGAGGCACAACAAGAGCGCAATGCCAAGCTTCGAGCTGCATTTGGGATTGAACGCCCTAATGAAGATGTGCAGAGAGAACGAGAGAAACCAAAGCAGTACCAGTTGGTCAAGACCCCTTCACCATCCCCCTCTCCCCCTCCTCCTCCTCCTCCTCCTCCTAAACAAGCACAGACCCAAGTGACACAGAAGGAAATAAACTCCTCTCAAGCTGAGGAAGAGCAGCCAGTGAAAATTCAATTGGACAAGTCCTCCTGTGTTACTGATGGAACCAACAAGGAAAAGTAAGTCACTTGCAATCAATATGCCCCTTACTTCCTCCACATTTGTTTGATGTAGCAATGTTACCTCTATCCTGAAATTATTGCAGAATGAGAGCTTGTTTGTGTTTCAAGTCCCATCCACTGATCATCTCAGAATGTTACCAATGTCATACTAATGCTTTTTGCCTTGCAACGCATTGCAAGTTCTTGTGTGCCACAAACAAGGCCTTTGGCAAAATTGATACTCTTTGATAGCAATATTATTTTCTCATTTGACATCTTTTCAGATGTGAGAAATTGAGTAAAGCAAAGAAAAGGAAGAAGGGAAAGAAACAAAAGGAGGAGAATGCATGCAGGAAGGAAGAGGAGGAGAATGATGATAACAATAATAAGAGGAAGAAGAGGAAGAAAAAGAAGAGTCACAAAAGCAAGACAAAGATTAGGATGAAGAAGAAGGGAAAGCAACGTCACCGGAGCCCTAGCATCACTTCCTCTAGTTCATCTGACTCAGATTCTGCATCCTCAGACAGGTGAACACCCCTCTTCTTCTAATGAGACCCTGCTGCTTTATGTTATGTTTCTGCTAAAGGTGCATAGGAGAAAGTGTAATCAGTGCTCTGGATTTTGATAAAATGACTGATTTGTTTCATTCATCTGTTTTCATGAAAGAATGAGTCTTGAAGTCTTTCCCTCTTGCTGGCTTCTGCCCATGTGCTGATTCTTGTGAAAGCCTCTTTTTTTTTTGAGTTAAGCCTGTAAAGATATATAAATGTACTAATCTTGGCATTCATACTGTGTTAATTTCATTCAAGCATTTGCTATGTGAAAATCATGAAAATGAATTTAAGCTGGAACCATGTTATTAAAGATAACAGCAAATATGCATAAAAATCATACCTGTAACTACAAAATTTGATTTACTTGGCTGGAAAGTGTCCAACAGAGCAGCTGGGAAGCATTATGCTGAAGTTTTGTTCTTGAAAAACTGCTGTGTATTCTGTAATTGCATTATTTATATTAGGAAAGCATATCTTTCTTTTGCTAAACAAGCCAGTACCACTCAACATTTATTAGTGCTTATTTGCCAACCACTGAGCACTGTGCTTGTGCCATGTCAGGAAAAGGCCTAATTAGGTTTTTCCATGTCATATGTAAAGTTCTAATTTCCATGGATGAAAAATGAGCTCATTCCAATGTGATTGTCATACCATCTATGAAGAAATCAGGGATATACCAAAGCTAATGCAGCAACGAAGGGACAGGGTAATGAAAATGATGAAAAGGTTAAAGCTATAGTGGACCATAGGAAAAAAGTCACTGTTCATGTCCCCAGTCAGTTCAAAATGTTTGAGTTCACCTGAGATATGGACCCTGTTATGTGTGCCTTCAACATTTCAGAGAAGTTGCCTCTGGCTGGGTATGGGATTGGTGGAGTTCCATAACAAATTCATAAGGCTATGACCAGACAGATATCAAATTGATGAATATTTTTCAAGAAGTGCATTCTTTTGCTTATGGTTGCTGACCCCTTTTTCCCCCATGCATCTTTTCTATGGCCATTTGGATTTCTGCCCTGTGTGTATGATACCTTTTTTTTGTGAGACTCAAAATTATTGACCTGGTCCTTACAAAAAAATGTTATACATGGACACACAAGAGGAAGATATAGGTCAGGTTCTCTTTTCCTGCATAAAGCAGACTATTTTTTAATCATGATTTGTATATTTGAACTTGATTGAGTGGTCAAAGGGAAAGGAGATCAGTATCTTCCCCTTGCACTCCCCCACTCTACTTGCAATATCCTCTGTCTTTTCAATGCCTTCACTTTAAAGCTTTGAAGCTGGTTTAACTAACTCAAATACAAACTTGATACTTGCATTGTGGAGTTTATTTTTCAGATTGTAATTGTATTTTGTTTTGTGGTGGTTAAAATAACCTTCTCTTTACTGAAAAGAAGTACAAAGAAATTATTGTGGTGGTGGACTTGCCTAGCTTATTCTCAGAAGTATATTTCTTTCCCTATAGTTGCCCTTTGGCTTCATTTGGAGTGTATGTTGACCTTATTTCCTCTTTCCATGTTTCTTTTTTATATTGTAGTAGTTAATACTTCCTCAAATTTAATTTTATTCTATGCAAGAGTACGATTTTTGCTGAGAGTTGCATAGAAGTACCTCTGCTGACTGATTCAAATTTATTGATTGAGAGTCAATTGAGAGTCTGTTTATTATGCATTTGTGCACAAAGTAGAACAAGTTTCATGCTAAATTTGGCATCAAATTAAAACCAGATTCTGTCTACTACATAGATGTTTGCTGCATAGACTGCTCTGTGCACATCTTTGTCTCATGTCTCAATATATTTGAGGCATTCTAGTCCAAGTAATCATATTTTCCGAATTTAGGTTATGTCTCTGAGAGTTAAACCTCTCAGAGACATAACCTAAATTCATAAAAATCCATGTATAGTGGTCATGAAATATGCTGATCCTAAGTTAGTCTCTTGGGGTGGTCCCCTAGTGGTCCAATAGCCATCTTAACCCCTCTAATCATTCTTGTAAATTTTCTTGACTCAAATATTTGCTTACATGTAGTATGTGCTTATCTTAAATAAAAATTTCATTCTGTGTATTAAGCCACCATGATGGCATCAGGAAATATACTTGCAGAGTATAATCTCAGGTGGTGTCTCTAGTGTCTTGTGATCCAATACCAGCCATGTCTGCAAATGTAAGTGCAATGCAAAAGAGGTTAAAGCTAAGTTAAAGCTGATTCTGATTCCCTCTGAATTTTTCTGCATACTTATTGCAAAACAGTTTAAACCTTGAAAATTGTGAAGATAGTAAAACTTTGCATCAAGGTTTTAACAATGGGAAACATGGTAACAATGAGCTTTTGGAGCATTGCCACATGAGTCAATAGCATTGTAAAGAGGAAGAATGTGACCTGCTACCATGTTTCAAAAGCAGCAAATTAAATTTTAAGTCATATTTTGCCATGTTATGTTCCATGTTTATACCGTTTTTTCAACAAAAAAACAGACTGGAACAAGATAGTTAAATAAATGCCCTCCTCAAGATCTTTCAATTGATATATAAGTCATCTTGTTACTTGGAAATTTCAATGTCTTTGTTTGTTTGTTTTTTACTTGTGAATATGTTATTTTTTATTTTGAAAAATTTTACTCAAAGGGAATTCTGGTAAAAAATAATGAGGTCTATATATTCCAATAGTGATAGGTAGCCTTCATTCCATTTTTTTTTTTACTTTGTTTTAAAAATCAGGTTATTTATGTTATGTGAATTTTACCCAATGCATGCAATTTCTATTCTGCTTTAGACAATGAGTCTGTGAGGGCTAATTGTTTGCCTACTGGAGGGAATTGAGAGTCTAATTATTTTCCTGGGTTCAGTCTAGTTGCCATAGAGAGTGGCTATTTGCAAAAGTGCTGTGTATATTCTTCCATTTATTTTACCTTTGAAGGGATCATGATCGTTCTTCCCTCCATTGATATGAGTGTATCACACATATCAAACTTATTAGATGAAAGAAATGAAGACAATTTACTTTTGGATTTTTCAAACCTAAGATGTGTTTCTCAAACTTTTTATTTCCTTCCTGTTTAAAATATATTTGTATTTATTCTTACAAAAGCACTAAATCATTCCAACTAAGGAGCATCAGAAATTGAAATACAACCTCTCTAGTAGCAGTCACATCTTACTTGGACTATGACACCATTTCTGAATTTCAGTTGATCAGGAATATGCTTTTCCTTTGTGGCAGAGGGCCAGATGAATTTCTGTGAAAGCAAGCATATGCACACCCATTCTTAAAAATGAAACGCATGTGAGGCAAAGCTCTTGACCATGGTTTTCGTTTATAAAAATGGAGGATCATGTTGAAAGATGGTATTTATCATGTATTCAGTATGAGAGAAACACCCACCTGCAGGAAAACATCCACATTTTCACTTGATGCCAAATTTTCTGTGAAACCCACTGTTTCTTGTGTAGAAAGTGCACTCAGTAAAGTGGAAAATAATTTTTCAAGGCAGTGTAAGCATGTGTGGGACATATACTGCTTCTCAATGTATGTAATCAAAGATTCCTTGAGTTTTTCCTGTAAACTTCATGCATTTTAACTCCTTCAAAGCAGACCCAGTAAATTCTCAGGCTGCTGACTTCTTTATCTTAACTTGCTGGTGAAGGAGTTAAAGACAGTTCACCCCTTCTCTTTCAAAATGAATGTAAATGCTTTTCTGTCTTGGAATTTCTTTCTTTGGTGACTCCCATTCCTTCATTCTTGCTTTTCTGTCATCCTCATTCTTCCTTGTAGAACTCAGGGAGGGCTTGCCTTTCGATGCTCTGTGTCCTTTGTTAATTTTATTTTTTTTGGTCTCATGTTCCTCTTCCCCTGGTTTTGATCTCCACAGATGGTAGTTTTTTCAGTTCCTTCCTGTCCAAGGTGAGTCAGTTTCATATGCATCTACTTTTCTTTAATTTTTTCATGTGTCTTTTTGAGGCATTTTCTCCCAATTTTTGCTCTGTTTAATGCGCTTCAAGGATCCTCAAGCTTTTTGTTAAATTCAGTTTTATGACAGCTGGAAAGGCGCCATAAATACAGGTGGTTTTTTATTTTCTGCAGTGAGTCAGATGAGGAGCAGAAGCGGTCCCAAAAGCGAAAGAGAAAGAGGACAGGCAAGAAAAAACAGAGACGTCAGTCATCAAATCACTCCCATTTGGACTTTGGTTCTGATTCAGAATCTACTGATTCCTCCAATGAAGACCATGGTATCAAGAAGCCACGATCCAAACACAATCGAAAGGTTTGTCTTCTCTTATGGAGCTCAGTTTAAATACATTTGTTCTTAATGCTGTAAAATTGAAGTGCTAAACCATTGGTGGTGATATATCAATTTACTGAGTGGATATCTGAGTTAATTTATTGCTAATATTAAGAATGCTTTTTGAGTTCATGCTTCCTTCTAAGCTGATGTGATTATGAACTCTTATGATATATTGGTTCATGTTTGCTTGTTTAAAAAATGTATTACTGCTGGAAGAGATTTTAAACTCTTGAAAGGCATTGATTGACTGAGAACCCCTCCCTTGTTTCACTGTTGATGCAACATTATTTAGGACTCTTCACTGGACCTGTAAGTTTGCCCTTTGACCATCCCTACTGACCCCTTCTCCTTTTATATTTTAATCTGTACTTGCTTTATGTCTTACAAAAGAAATTTTGAATAAGAGAAAATTTTTGATGAAATATCAAAGAAATTATGACTAGCCTTGGGAATAAAACTTTTCTGTTTTCCTTTCTTTTAATGTAGAGTAACAAGGATTATGACCTTATAACAAAAAAAAAGTTCAATGTTGAGAGTTGTATGAATTTGCTACTGGACTCTAATCTTAAACAATGGATGGCTTGGCTGGAATGAGGAGTAATATGCATTTGAGTAGTGCATGAGTTTTCAAATGCACTCTTGAGCTTTGTTGTCTCGTGGCACCCAATTGAACACCCTGTGAAGCCCACATTCAGAATTTCCAAATGATGATTATATATTGCCTTTTGTATGCTTGTCCTCTCTAGGTGGAGGAGAAAAGGGGGAAGAGTCGAAGAGAAGTGAAGAAGGGGAGGTGAGCATTGACTTTTTTCATTCTTGATTTTTTTTTAAGGTTCAATGTTACAGTTGCACAAAAGTTTAAATAACAATGAAAAGCTGCAATACAGAACTTCATGTGCCCAGCTGATGGATTGCTTGTCTTGTAATTGTCTGCCTTCTATTGTTTGTAATAGCCTGAGGCAATTTCTGTGCTGGCCTGAACCCCTTTCCATAAAGACGAGTACAGAAAGATATAATTATATTATTTTGCATATTTTTATTTTAACCCTCTCAGTGCCACATGCCAATATTTTGGCAGGGAAATCTTGCATATGATTCCTTACTGGCTGAAAAGGGATGAAAAGAATGAAAAATACAAGTGTACAGGCAATATTTTGTAATAAGCTACATTTTCGGAGGAAATCCATAGCACTTTTTGCACATCCCTCACCAGAAAGTGTTGTACTAAGGGTGTTAAGGAATGATATCTCCATGAAACTTGTGCTCTGCTTTCAATTATGATTAAACTTTTTTTTTTGCAACTTGCAGGAAGGGGGAGAATGAGAAAATGAGAAAACATGGTCATACACGCTCCCCTTCAGCAGCAGCATCATCATCCTCTTCATCATCATTGTCATCATCACCATCACCTAGAGTTTCACAATCATCATCATCATCTTCGGATGAGGAGCATGCTCCCACCTCAAAGAAACCCCGCAAAGACCTTCATACCATTAACAAGCGCCTGATGGCCCTGGCCAATCCAACTGGATGTTCAGACCAGGAGACAAAGGTCAAAGATGGAGAGAAACGGCAAAAGAGTCGAGATTCCAGCCTCAGCTACTCCCCTATTCAAAAACATCCTGAACGATATCAGGACATCCTTGACAAAAGTAAAGAGCATCAGCAAGGTCACTCTGAGTTGAGGTCCATGTCAAGATCTGCCAGTCCTGCAGCACATCACAGATCAAGATCACGGTCAGAAAGTTGCCCTCAGTCAAGATCAGTATCTCCAACTGCAAATCACTCCAGATCCAAGAGCCCTGCTGTTCAAGGATCAAGGGCAAGTTATAGGAGTCCTGGATCTAGTCGATCGAGGTCCAGGAGTCCTGGAGCACATAGATCAAGGTCCAGGAGTTCCGAAGTGCATCATTCAAAGTCGAGGTCCAGGAGTTCTGGAGCACATCGATCAAGGTCAAGGTCCAGGGGTCCTAGAGTGCGTCAATCAAGATCAAGGTCCAGTAGCCGCCGAGTACCTCGGTCAAGGTCAAGGTCAAGGTCGAGGAAAAGCCGGAAGCGGCACCATTCTCGCAGTCAAAGCTCAAGTCGCTCCACCCGTCGGCGGCGTCACTCACGCTCTTCTCCAAGGTCACGCTCGCAGTCACGCTCGCGGTCACGGTCACGATCGCGGTCACCCTCTCGGAGAAGAAGAAGCCGGAGCAGGTCCATTTCTGGCCTTGGATATCGATCCAGGTGAGCAGCCCCTCTTTATTTCTGCTAAACCCATTCGAGACTATTTAGATAGAAGAATTCTAATTGCTTGCTGTAAGAGTCAAAAGTACGTCAAGTAAAGACTTAATAGAGGGGACACAAGAATCTCTTACATGTGCCTTATCCATTCTATTCTACAATTGAGGAGTTCTCTGGAAAAAGGGCGTCCTCAATTCATTGACTCATCTCGCTTTGAGTTGGAGTGGAAGGCATATGAAAGGACTTTCCAGAGTTGACTCATACCCTGATTGGTTGTATACAGCTTGCTCCCAGTTAAGTATGTGGAAAGAATGAGAACAAGAAATACCCTCTCTTCCTGGTTAATAATGCTGAAACTTCTCTATGCTTGAAGTTCAATATTTGACCATATTGGACACAATCTGATACTATACCTGACAGAAAGCTCTAATTATGTTAGAAAGAAAGTTGTAACTGTCTCACCGAGGTATGGTAATAGGTCAAGATATCCTGGTGTATGTTTGATTAAAGATGAAGGAATTGTTCATGAAGGAAGTTAGGACTAGATCCATTATGCAAAAGTTTTTTTTATGTACTGTAAATTACAATAAAGGCAAAACCCTCTAATGTTGAACATATCTACTGAATTGCACCAAAATCAATTGTGGAGGGTTTTGCATTTACTTGTAATCTCCATCAGAGACTTGTATATTGCTTAATTTGCGAGTATTTTTTAATCTCGTGTACATTCCCACGTGGTGGTGTCTCATTTGAAGGGAATAGCCTGATAGCACACTATTACTTTCGCACGAACAAGTCAATCCTCAACAATATGGTTTTCACTTCTCCTGCATGATTAGAAACTCTTTTTTCTGGTGCTGATGAGGTCAATCTCTTGTTTTTGACATTAAGCTCTTGACAGATTGTAGCACAGAGGACTTCTGCACTAATTGCACAACCTTCCAGGCTATGGTATACATATACCCTTTACAATTTCATTCATAGTTCTCTCTGACCACAAGTAATCTGTTGTTCCGAATGGTTATGCCTCGGTAACCTCAGTGATCCACTCTGCCACCCCCCTAGGATGTCCTTCACCCAACCCCTCTCCTTGTCATATATTGATGACATCGCTTCCTCACGAGAACAGAAGTTCCATCCTTTTGCAGGTGACCCCATCCTCCTTGGAATCCATCCCCTAATGGATATCTCTTCAGAATACGAGGTGTGGTCAAAAAGTTCTCAGTCTGATTTGTTTACAGAAATGTCTTGAGGTGAAACGTGATGATGGAATGAATAAATATACAGGGTATGGCAAAAAAATGACCAATGACATTCAATCTAAATATCTCCTCTCACAATAGAGCTATTATCGTGAAACTTCCACATTGCATATATGAGGATGTTTCCAACTGATACCTTAAATTTCTTATAAATTTATTATGCTAAAGCAATTCTATCATCAGTTATTGAAAAGAAGTTAGACATTGAGAATGAACAAGAGCTCCTACTGGTAGTGGAGTGGAGGACACACTAACGCCGTCCCTCCTGCTCATCAAGACCACGTCAAACTCCTCTTCCCACTAAATTCATTCATGAGGCTGATTGTCTCTTGCAGATGGTTTGCATAAGCTTATTCTCAACCAAAAGTAGATGAATCATAGAATTTAAATCCAGATAGTTTTTTTTTAAAGTTCTTTCAGCATTTATTTTGTTTTCTCCGTATGAGTTTTCAGGGTATGACAAAAAAATTAACAACTTAGATAGTGTCATGCTTGTCGCCAGAGTTCCTGAGGATATAACATGGTTTTATTTATTCGAAAGTCAACTACGCTGCAAAAAAAATTTAATAATTCAGGTCAAAGCTACAAACGATATAATATCTATGATGAGGCTGAAATTTAAAATGGACAGGTCCCTTTTGAAAAGCAAAAACAAGCAAATTCCGAATGAACTGAGAAAACTCTCTGGATTGATATTAATTTATTCATCTACTATTGATTGGGAAGAAGCTCGTGAAAACCATTTGCAAGAGGCAACCAGCGCAATGAGTGAATTTAAACGGAAGAGGAGCTCGACGTGGTCTCGAGGATCAGTGGGGACGGCGCTAGAGTGTGTCCTCCACTCTACTACCAGCAGAGCTCTTGTCCATTCTCGATGTCTTACTTCTTTTCAATAATTGATGATAGAATTGCTTTGGCACCTCAGATTTGAATGAAATTTGAGGTATCAGTTGGAAACATATATATGCAAAGTGAAAGTTTCGCGAAAATAACTTGTGAGGGGAGATATCTAGGTTGAAAGTCGCTGGTCATTTTTTTTTTTGCCATACCCTGTATATAAACCTGGAAACTTTTTGACCGCACTTCGTGTATCTCACAATCGAAAGAGAAGCAACCTTTTTGTGCTTTCCTGTGAGAAATGGCCTTCATTATCCATTTTACCTTTCCTATTACACGCATTCACTTGTGGAATGCCTTGAAGATATATGGCATCTCAGATCTCTTCTTTTTTCTCCTCCAAATAACGAGCTTTCCTTCATGTTCCTCCTCTGAAAACCTTTTTGTGAAGGAGACGAGCATTGGTCTCTGCACGTCTGTTCTTTCGTGACGTATTCCCACGGGACTAATTTCCGGAAGTTTTCTTTATCTTAGACCCCGCCAAAATTTCAAAAGAAACCGTCCTTCGCTTCACTTACGGACGAACTCTATTACCAAGTGTTCAAGCCATCTTTGTGGAATAAAAAAAAAGTGTGAGGTCGATGTACGGGGTGTTTGAAAAGTCACTCCCTGTTTTAAATTTGTAAAAGCTTTGGTAATTTTTGTGCTAGAACATTAGTTTTTGTGTCAGAAATTAAGAGAATTCGATAGGGCAGCTATTCCCAAACTGGGGTACGCGAGGCAATTCCAGGTGGTACGCAAGAGGTTTCCGAATGGACTTATTAAATGAATAAAAAAACTTGCGTAAGAAAGTACGTGTCTTTTATACTTTGTGGGATATGCATATGTTGAACAAGTGATGATACGCTACCTATTCATCCTGGAGGCAAGTGGTACGCAGAGGTCGAACGTTTGGGAATTGCTGCAATTGTTTTTTAAATTTTAATTTAATTGATTTTTTTGTATGGAGTAACCCTCCATGGTGCCAAAATTGAATGTTCGTCACCGTGCGCAAATAGCTGCACGGTATGAGGCGTGGAAGTCCTCCGCCATGGTCCAGGGGTGGTGGTGGAAGGAGAGTATCTTGGATGCAACTTTCCATCTTCTCCACCTCTAAAATTCATTCCGTACAGCCATTTGCGCACGATGACGAACATTCAATTTTGGTACCATGGTGAGCTATTGCATGCAATCAGATCAACTAAATCAAAACCCTATCGATTTTCTTCCTTTTGACACAAAACCCATAGTTCTAGTCCAAAAATTAAAGAAGTTATTACAATTTTAAAATAGGGAGTCCAACCACACAGTATGTTTTCGAGAGGTGTTATTCAACCTCATGGTTAAAGTATAATATTTTCTTGCGCTTTTCTACGAGGTAGGCCTTATATTCGCCTGTTTGCATAGTGACTCAAAGACTGAATATTCCCAGAAGACTGCTCTCAAAGGCAGACAATCCCGTGGGATTTATCTTTGCCTTTCTTCTCACTCTTCTTTTGCTATTGGCTTAATGGTGCCAGTCGGGTTGAAGCATGGTTTTCTGACCTCTAACAAATGGGGCTGGGAATGTGTGGTGTGCATGCAGGAGCAGCAGTGGATCACGATCTTCACGAAGCAGATCTCATTCCTCCCATTCGTTCACGTCTGCTTCGTCTCGCTCCCGTTCTTTCTCCCGATCCCGTTCTCCGTCGATCCCGATCCGGAGGGGATCTCCGTCTTTTCTGGAGAAGCGACGCATTACCAGGTGAGCAAGGACCACGATGCAATTGGGTGGGGTTCAAGGAGTCCTGTTTTGCGGCGTTTTCTTTCGTGGCCTTGCATCCCGAGATTTTTGTGTCCCCTCGAATGTCCCAAATTCTTCTTCTGTTTTCATCATATCGTTCGTTATTTTTTTATTTCGCCTTTTTTTGTTTTCTTCCACTCGTCTCAGAGACAGATGGAGGCCGTCTTCCAGAGACCGCCGTTACCGGCGTCGACACTGAAGGAGGAAATCACTCTTCCTCACCTTTTTTATTTTCAGTTGTGAGTTGTAACCCTTGCATGGCACGCCCGCAATGAAGAAGGAGGAAGAAGCACTTGCGTTCAGTTCCTTGTGTTTTTGGGTGTGTCTTATTTTTCTCGCATTCATTTTCCCTCTCACATGTTCCCAGTTTCTGGATTTTCCAATAAAAAGGTGTCCTCTTCCATTCTTGCAATTCCTTAGTTCTTTATTTGCTGTATTTGCACGATTGAATCCAATTATTTTGCATGAGACCTACTCCTGATTTCCCCCTCTCTCTCACCACCTTGGCCACTAAAATCTCTATTTCTCTTGCCATTAACGTTTGGGAATTCTGAGAAGCTTGTGACAAAACCTCTGTCGCGGGTTTCTTTTCAAATCAGGCAACTTGGAAACCGGCATCGAGTATGCTGATGTTTTTCAAACACGTTTTTTGTTTATTATAAAAGTAGACAACTTTCCGATATTCGATAAATTATTTAAATTTGAATTCTTTCAAGTATTGCCTGACATCTGTGTATGTATTTGTATCAAGTGAGCATTTATATAATTCATATTTTAGTTAAAATTATGAACAACTAATGCCAGTTTCACAAAAGTGAGTAAAAGAAAGTATTTTTCTTAAAACCCCCATCATTTATATTAATCGTCATTTTTCCTTTGATAACAGAAAGCTTGGATCACTACGTGATGCACGACTTTCAATTCACAGAGATTTACAACATAGTCAATGAATTTTGAACGTGCACTTTTTTTTTTACCACCCTGCCTGAATTGAAGTGGGCTGCCTTATGCAGTTAGTTACCATTTCCTCAGAGGGGACGAGGCCGTGTCAATTTTGCTAATGGGCATCAGGTTTTTTTGAAACGGGTTCACTTAAGACAGTTCGTTTCGAAACCGAGTCGCAGCCCTTGGTTTCTTCGTCGTGGTGCCAAACGGCATCCCATACGTGCGGCGTCACTTTCGGGGAAAAAAGAGAAAGTGCATGAAGTAGACAGCACTGTACAGTACCGGCCAGAATGGAGTTCCTGCCTCTGGTCTCTTGAGATCCTAGCCGCAGGGAATGCCCTATCGGCATCGAAGCTGAGAACATAAGATGGATTCTTGTACTTCCTTTTAGCTGCTAACGGACTTTTAGCCCTATGCTGGCAATGGACCTTAAAGGTCTTTTAGCGCTAAAAGGGAGTACAAGAACCCACCCTTAGATTTTAAAGGGAAAAGGAGTCACGATACGGAGTGCATCGATGCAGTTCGTTCCGCTAAATTGGTTCTGCAGCCACGGTCGAAAGACTTCGCTTCTTTTTGAAGCAAGATCGAAATATGATCGGCCGAGCCGTAAAGAGTACAGGTGATGTTGACCTGATTCCACGGTAGGTGGATATCACGGCAGAGTTGCCTTAACCCTTTCAGACCCAGCGTCCATTCCAATGGACATTGCATTTCCATTGTGTCTATGGTAATTTATTGGGATTCTCGTGACTTTGCACCCCATATTGCACTACAATGGGCGCAATTATGCATGGCTCAATTCCATGGAAGGCTGTCAATTTTGTAATCTTCAGTTATGTAATTACATGTATAATATATATTATATGGTATGGTACGTTAAAATTATAATAAATATAAAAACGATATATGGAACATAAAAATTTTAAGTAGAATAGCATAGGAGCTCAAAAATGCAAAAAAGTACAATATTCCAATAGTGGCCTTAATTCAGGTCTGAAAGAGTTAAAATATTTCTCCCCGTTTCGTCTTGTCGCTTGAAATGTTTAAAATGGCGTCAGTAGAAGGAGGAGTATCGTGTGCCTCGTAATGCAACTTTTTCCATCTCATTAGTACAATAAGAAAAAAGCGCCATTTTTTGTTTTTTACGTCGCGATACAGTTCTTCTACAGCTCATACCTTGAATTGTGAAAGCTTCACTCCAATGAATTTACCTTCTAATCGAAGAATGGAGAATGGGCTATTTTTATGAGTCCGCTTCCATGACTTGAACGCCGTTCTTTCGTTCCATCGTATCTCCTCTGGAACGATCACTACAATTACTACACTTAACGCTGTGGATCGTGGAACGGAGCGGCCTAAATCGTATTCGTGACGAGTGGGAGGATATGATCCCCGACCCCCTTCGCGTGATTCAGACTTTCTCTGTCGCTCTCATCCTCGTCTCTCGTCTCTTCCTCAGAAGTCCGAGGAAACGAAATCCTCTGAAAGTTAAAAGAGAGTATGGTTTCGACGTTCTGGCAGGTACAAGTACGCTGTTGTAGGGCTACTAATATTAACATGCATCGCACGTAGTAGTAGTACGGTGATTCGAGTCTCTCCCCTAACCGTTACCCTCACGATAACCAAGAGACTAATACCGTGGGAAGTATGCAAAGAGGCACGAAGTTCCCATGACTTCGCCCTCGAGCCCAGTAGGCGCTCCACGTTATCGTTCTCCGACTCGCATCTGATCCAAAATTTAAACTCGGATCGATGAGCATTCGCACGTATCTCTCTCTCGCTCTCGTACGTCTCGGCAAACGAAGCCGACGCAACCGAGAAGAAAGAGTCGATCCGTCGAACGATTCTCAGGTCGGAAGCGGTAAGAACGCTGGAGCGTCGCACTGGAGCCCCAGCGGAGGACGATGCACGATCGGCATGAGACTAACCCGGATGCTAACCCTTTTTAACCGACAGCGCTCGGAAGAGGCCGATCCCGTACCACCGACCCACACCTTCGCCGCCGTCGTCTCCACCGAGTCCGTGGCGTCCTTCCAGGTCCGCCTCTCCCTCTCCACACCGATTCTAACGGACCGACGCACTGCATTCCCTAACTCATCAACTCCATCACCTCCATCTCCATCTCCATCTCCATCTCCATCACCTCCATCTCCATCTCCATCTCCATCTCCATCTCCATCTTCATCTTTATCTTCATCTCTTTCTCGCAATACGTTCCCTGCTCAACCCTTCGTCGATGTGTACGCGTAGAGTCCCACGTCATCGTGTTCCCATTCGGATGCCAACTTGTGATTATGATCATTTTATATCCTTAATTTATTCTCATCCGCATAACTTATTCTCATATTATGATCTACCTCGTCTTCTGGATTCACCATCACTCGATGCTATTTATCGGTAGATCGTTTATTTATTATTTATTTGCCGTACGGCGGTCGATGGAATAAAATTCCTTGTTTCGCTCCCATGGACACGATTCGAAACGGAAGGGAAACCGCTGAATGCGTTCCGGTCTGGTTCCCCCCGACTTCTACCGTCTCTCTTCGCATTTCACTCGCTCTGGGTGGGAATTACTGGCTCCCTTTACGTGGACTTCGTCGATTCGCTGTCGAGATGAGTGCAGGATTTCGTGGTCGCGGAGATCTGCTTCCTCTCGGGGACGTGCAGAATGCGTCAAGTGGACGGAGATGATTCCATCCCAGATTCCTCATGAAATCCGGGTTGAATTTCGCCGTGGGATCGGAGGAGAGCTGGGACGGGAAGAAGAAAGGCAAACGAACTCGGATCCCTCGAGTCCACGTCCAGACGCATCATCCCTCGAGTCCGCCTTCAGATTCGCGATGACTCGAGTCCACATCCAGACGCATGATGATACTGACTTACGAAAGGCTGGCTTCCGTATTAAATGCCCGCATTCGGATGAGTCGGGTCCAACCGCACGAAATTCAACAATACTATTTGTAAATAATAATAAAAAGCCGGACGCATGAGCACACACCCAACGAAACCCAAGAAGAGAATGGGAAAGAAGTAAAGCAAATTGAAGATGAAAAGAAATTAAAGCCTTGAAGAAAATGAATTTAAAAAAAAATGGGGGGGGGGGGGGATGAAACAACAAAAACAAAAGCTTGATAGGAACAAGGGAGGAGGAAACGTGTCTCCGTGACTTGAAGCAGGTTCTCAAACTCGTTTAGTGCGCGGGCCGCATCGCCTAGATGGACCACTCTGCGGGCCAATGTGTAAAATCTTAGAACGAATAATCTACCACTACCTTTATTGTGTATAATGGGCTTGAAAGGTTTCTCGATGCACACCGGTGGGTCGCGAGCCGCGAGTTTGAGAGCCCTGCTCTTAAAGTTCGTGCGTTTCAAGTTCGACTGTAAATAGAATGTGGACCCCATCATCGTTATCTTAAGGGCGTTTCACACCCTGCGTGCCATGCATCTTTTGTGTCAACGATTGGACAAGGTAAATACAGTGGCGTAGCCAGGATTCCGTCAATGGGGGGCTAAGCGGAATGACTTACTTCTCGTCGGGGGTGGTGGATGCAGTTAGACCAGAGTTGGGGGGGCTTGAACCACACTTGGGGGATGGGCTGAAGCCCCAGCCCCCCTCTTTACGCCACTGTAAACAGACGCACGTGTGCACACGCATGTGTGCACACGTGCATGCATTTACATGCATTTACATCCGAGGATTTTCACGATACGCAAGGCTTGCATGTGGAAATGGGATGAGTTGAATTGAAAGAGCATGCCTTGCGTCTTGCGAAAACCCTCGGATGCAAGAGGACATGTGCGTGCACGCGTGTCTGCTTGCATGCCCAAGGATTGATGCAAAGAACGCGTGATATGCAAGGTGTAAAACTCGTAATAAAAAAGACCCTCTTTATAACAAATCACGTAAGGAATCTCCGGACATTTTCTCCTTCCGGACATTTTCTCTCATGTGCTCTAAACTTACCGCTGTCTGTAAAGAGAAGGGAGAGCACGATGCCTTTTTTGCCTGTGATATTCATCTCCGCCACATGGCAGTTGCCCGCATGGAACGACGGAAGGGAAATGGCAAACACGCACACACTCAGGTCAGGGCGACTCAAGGCTGGGCAAGGGGTTGGAGAACATTTTTTTCTAATGCCGTTATGGAGTGACCCCGGACACGCGACGCGAGAAGCCGACCCGGAAAGCGGCTAAGTCGACCCAATTGCTTTTTACCCTTAAAAGAAACGATCAATTACCTTCTCGCCGATAACTGAGGTCTAAAAGGATCTCTAGCGCCGTCGAAGCACGTTACATCAGGGTCTCGTCTTGAACCCCACAATCGTCCGAGTAGATTCCCTGCATGGAATCCCGCTTGCCAGCGCCAATCCCTTTGGGATTTTTCTTTCGCGAACGGCGTTCATATTCAGAATTAACACGGTGAACGCTTGGCTGTACGAGTAACTCGATGGAGTTTTGATCGGTAGCATTTGAAGTACTCCAGAAGAGGTAGACCGTAGTCTAATCGAAGGAATAAAGCGTTCTCACGAGCATTCCAGATTCTTATACCAGTTGTCGACCGAAATTTTTGAGGAGAAATGCGTTTGGTGGGTAGAAAACGAGCCTGCAAAACGTGGCATTTTCGCATTTATTTTTCGAGTCGATCGGCAACAGACGGAGAACATGAATGAGGCCTAGTTTAGACTCAAGAAAGTTGGACACTTCCTCGACAGCGGATAGGATTAAGAGGCGCGTGAAGTTTGTAGAGGATTGGGATTGGGAGTTGCCAAGGCTGGTCATCATCCGAGTCGTCGTTGAGCACAACGTCTGAATAAAGGTTACAAGAAATCAACGTGATGTCGGGATGAGTGTGTGCTGAACGAGACATTCGGTTAGGGAAAAGCAGGGAAATGATATGCGAAAATTTCCAAGTGACGCTCAGGTTACCATAATTGCTCAAGAGGTCAATCTTGATGTCACGCACGTGCTGTGAACGGGAGACAAGTTGCTGATGGCGAGTTCAAGGTTGCTGAAGAATATGGTAAAATTACCGGTTGAGGTACTGCAGACAATAAGGGTAATTCAGGGGGTGATTAGGGACATGCTTCCCATTAGGATTAGGAATTCTCACCGCAGTTAGCTCTCTAGCTTCACCCCCCCCCCCCCCCCCCCCCCCCCCCCCCCCCCCC